ATGAACACACAGCCGAACATACAGACAGCTGAACACGCAGAGAACGTTGACTCAGCATTCACATTTAGCTGGTCAGTTTTTTTAAGCATTTAACATCTTTATCTGATTTAGCTGTTCATATATCAAAACATTCAGATGTTATTACTGTACAACTTTTAGTGTTTTATTTAATTTAAATTTTTATGTTTTATTGAAATTAAACTTAATTTTAACTAGTTTTAGCTTTTAGGCAACATTTTGTTAATTTTAGCTTTTAGCTAATGGTTTTACATTTTAGCTACAACATTACACAATTTATCTTTTAGCTACTGTTGAGCTGGTTCGGAACGTTAGCTACAGTTCGGCTAATTTGAGCTTTTCTCTGTTCTGATCCCTTTAGCTTGTTCTCCTTTTAGCGTCTGTTCGGAACGTTTTAACTTTAAGGGTTTAGCTGAATTCAATAAAGTCCTTCAGAATTTGCATCGTTTTTACAGACAACGCTAAATTTTCTGTTTTTATATTTATTCACTTTTCGGCCTCTCCATCAAACCTGAAGCGGAAAATACCGTAAATTCTGCACCGACTAAAAAGGAATTACCGTAAATATGAGAAAACACATGCAAATGAAAATTAACTGGCAGCATCGTGAGTATTAATGAACATTTGGCCGAAGCTGGCACCAGGAATAACCGAAGAACTAACTGGAAATGCCAGAGCACGGATATCGGCAGGACTTGAGTTCAGATTCTGGATCGGATCGGCCCCAGGAGAACCGGAGCGCAGTGCGAGATGAGGCGGAGGTGAGACGTGGAGGAGGTTGTGTTTGGTGCGAGACCTGTAGGAAGCTCCTCCAATCAGAGGAAACTTTTATTCACATTCAATTCTTCACAGCTGTTCCCTGGCTGAAATTGCTTTTTTTAATGCTTGATTTGAAAGTTAAATCTGAGCTAGAATATTTTTTATATATAAAAAAGGAGGAAATAAAAGGAAAAGAATAATTAATTACTCTTTCTTCAACCGACAAACATTGTCAAAACCTTTTTTAAAGATCATCTCTGACATCCTTTCAGACAGAAAAGCTCCTCTCCTCCTAAAAAGCTTCATTCGAAGCTTCGATCACATCATGAAGGAGAGGCACAGAGTTCGTTTCATCTGCGTGCCGACCTCCTGAAAGAATCAGCGTCTTCATGAAGACGCAACAGAAAGAAGTCAAACAAGAAAAATGATCCCCGTCAGGCTCCAGATGAATCCGTAGGCAACGTGAATTCTCTGGTCGCTAAAGAAAAAACAAGTTGTTGACCACAAAGAGAGATGGAGAGGGAAGGATGATAAAGTAAACAAAAGATAGAGAAAAGGGGGCGGGGCATGTTTGAGGGTCAGTCCAGCACAGTTGCTCAGATTCAAAGTGCTGCAGTGGTCTCCTGTCCTCAGACACACAGTGCTGCACCGTGCTGATAAACGTTCACATAAACTCTGTCACTAGTTTCACTCTTGCGCAGTCTTTAGACTCGGACACAGTTGATGGTTCCAGGTTGCACAGTAATGCGGTCTCGAAGGTTTTGCATTAATCCTCCTTCCTCTCCAGAGCCGTCTGCGTCGCGTGGATCCCGTTGCTGTACACCGGGAACGGCAGCGTCGAGAAAAGGCCCTCGGCTGTGGTGAAAACGTTGGCCGCCGCCGGCATCGGGCCTCCTAATGTGCCGTTACCGCCCGCGGGCGCCGTGGATCCGACGAACGGACCGGCGGCTGCGGCGGCGGTCATGTTCAGCCTGTGGACGTGATGGTAGAGCATCTCCATGGGCGTCTTGGGGTCCAGACCAAACCCCGAGCTGTCCACGAAGTTCATGGCGGCGTTGGGGAGGAGGTTCCCTTGTGCCATTGCCAGAGTGACGTCCGCTGGCGCGTACCTGATGGTCCCAGTCGTGTAGACCCGTGGAGCTGTCGTGCTGCTGGGAGCCAGAGTCCCGGTGACCCGGTGGACCAGCGGGAGAACCACGTTGCTCGCTTGCAAACGCTGGAGAGCTTCAAGATCACCGGAGTACAGCAGTGAGGAAGAGCTGGTTGAGGACGAAGAGGAGGAGGTGGAAGAAGACGAGGAGGTGGTAGGAGTGCCTTGTTGCTTGTCCCGCGGGGAGGCAGAGAGAGGAGGAGACAGGGGGTCGGCGGAGGAGGTGTTGGAAGGAGGAGCTAAACTTGTAGCGCTGGAAGAAGACGATGGCGCAGAGCTTCCATTGTAAGGAGGCTTCCTCCCCCCTCCTGCTCCCCCCTCAGTGCCAGGAGGGGTGAGGACAGAGTCAGGGATGACCACGTGCAGAGACCCCCCCTGCGGCGACGGGAAGGTCTCGAGACCCCCGGGGGCCTGTGGTTTGGAGGTCATGCTGTACGGGGACTCGTTTCTGGAGATCTCTCTGTTGGGGGGGTAGTTCCAAATGCTGCTGTCGTTGTCGAAGTTGATCGGCTCGGCCATTTCCGTCTTGATCTTCAGAACCGAGGACGTTGCTCCTGTGCCGTTTGGGGACTCAGAGGAGGTCAGGAGATGGGCAGAGGAGATGGACGAGGCCTCCGAGGGGTCGGCCGGGGGTGTGAGGTCTTCTGCTGCTGAAGGGCTGAGTGGAACTGACAGACGGAGCCTCCTGCTTCGTGACCCGTCCCACTTTTGCACTTTCCTCCTCTTCCTCCTCTTCTGGAGCGTGCGGCCGGCACTAACACCGTCGCAGTCTTGGACTCCTCCCCCTTCTTCCTCATCCTCTTCGTCCTCCTCATCTTGCTCCTCCTCCTCTGAGGAGGTTTGTGAGTTGTGCAGTTGGAGTTCCTCACCTTCTCCGTAGTGTTCAACTTTAATATGAAGGCCACCCAGATTACCCAGTCCACTGATGGCACCAAGACCCTCTAATCCTCCCAGTCCCGCTAACCTCCCCAGCCTGCCTCCTCCTTCTCCCACCCCTCCCCTGGTGACCTCCTGCTCCTGCTCTCCATCTGAAGGCTCCAGGCTGTCGTCGCTCTCCTGGCTCTCCGGGTTACTGGAGCTGTCTCCTTCTTCGTGCCGCTTCGTCTCCTGTTCGGAGGAGCAGTGGGTCTGCCCGTGCGGCTGCTGGCGTTTGCTGTCCGGGTCCTCGATGTGCTCCACTTGTTGAGCCGACTTCCCCTCAGGCTTTTCGTTGTCTGCCAAGGGAAATTAAAAATACATTAAAATGTTAAAGGGCTATAAATATTCACCCCCTTTTTGCTGTGAAGTCCCAAATTATTACATAAATAGTTAAAATACCACGAGAGAACTGTGTTTTGATCCTCCAGAATCAACACCTGTCAGCTGTGAGCGCTACCGCCACATAACAGACATCATGAAGACCAAGGAACTCTCCACAAAGATCAGAGAAAGGTGTGGGAATGCACAGACCAGGGTGGATTCTAAACATAGCCCAGAACCAGAACCTCCCACAGAGCTCCTTTTATTCCCTTACTGGGAATTAAAAGATGTCACCTCAGCAGACCAGTCCAGAGAGGCTCGTCCTCGAAAACTCACAGGGAAGGACAGAAGGACACAAATCAGAGACACATCCAGGAGGACAAAGATAACCCTAATGAGCTAGAGGATCTGTCCACAGGACCACTAGAAGCTATGCTGGACTTCAGAGGTCCACCTTCCAGCAGGACAACGACCCTGACCTCACCGGTGACGACACACTCCACTGGTTTGAACAGAACCAGGTCCTGGAGCGGTTCAGTCAAACTGAGAGTCTGGATTGTTTTGGACATTCTTGGACACAAGCAGCACTGTCCAACCTGAAGGAGCTGGAGACATTTGGATATAAATAATGGACACAAAGTCCAGGTCAGATGGACCAGGATCATGGAAAAAGACCTGAAGACACTTGATGTTGGAACTTCTGCTAAACGTGGCTCCACAGGGGATGGGGTGTGTGTGTGTGTGTGTGTTAATACTTATGCACTTAGGCCTTAATTTTTTTATTCTATTTCTTGTTTCACTGTAATAATGTTTTGTAAAGTGGTGGTTTTAATTTGTAAACTAAAAATACAAAACCCTGTTTTTAAGAACTTTATGGAGACTCCTTCCTGTCCCCTCGACCTCCACCTTGTCGAGGAAGATGGACGCTCATCTTGGTTCTGGTGGAAGTCTTCCTGTTAAAGGGCAGTTGTGGATTTGAATCTCAGGTGCAACTTTTTTCTTTTTACGGTTCTTTTCACATTTTTTTAATTAAATTAATTTTTTGCGGCTGTGATGATGTCCTCAGCGTCTGTAGCTGTTCAGGCACGTTGATTGTGTCCAGCAAATTACTCTTTAAAGTCTGCCAGCACAAACCAAAGGCAGAGACGGCCCAGCTGGCAGCAGCTCGACTCTAATAGCACCTGGAATATCGACTCATTACTTCTCTGGAGGAAAACTGTCTTCATTAACTGGACTTTCCAAGCAAAACACATTTAGACCAAAAGTTAAGTCCCTAAGTTTATAAAGACATGTAAGAAAGTTGCGTTTAAGATATTTGCCAAATACACCAAATATTTTTAGAGGTCTCTAAAAAGGCTGAATGGGAATTTAGGGTTTGGATTAATGAGCACAGTATGAAGTTTGTAGAAGTAATGCAGATTAATCCTGATCTGACTATCAAAGATTGATCAGATTTTTGTAAAATCATTCTTACAGAAGTAGAAGAGGATATGATGGTTTTGTTTTTAGCATGAAAACTATGAGAGAACTTCAACTGGAAGCAGAGCAGATAATCTACGGTAATCTGCCTCGTAACATCAGGTTTTATAAAGACAACCGGACACCGTACCTCCGTCTACTCTGGATAGATTAGATCCTAACTGAAGGAGGGTCAAAGGGCAGCTGTCTCATTTGAGAACATGCTGAGTTCGAGCACCTTGGGCCTGTTGGACGCCGGCTGCCTCCTGCTGCAGCTGGCAACTCGCTGCAGCCGACAAAATGCCAGAATTACTATCCTCCAGCAAAAATACCAGCTGGCACCGAGTCGCGTCGTGCCAGCGCCGGCTGCAGGGCTTCAAATTATTCTCAAGGTGGAGGTCCTGTGTTGGTTTTAATTCAGTTATAATGTGTATGCTAGGACTCAGCATTGCAGCCACAAATGTTGCCAAATGTATTATTTTATTCCCAACAATTGTGTTTAAATTCAACTTTTGTTTTCACATAGATACATGTTCATGTTAGTGTTTGTATCTGCAGGATGCTGAGCCGATTACAGGCCACATGTGTCAATATTAACTTTATATAAAAACAAGTTTTCAAGCACTAGCTCGTGTGGAAGTGCTTACTTTTATTTTTACAGTTTATTTCACATTTGTATTAATTGTACCTCATCTTCATGGATTTTATTTAACAAGGAGAAGGTTTACGATTGTGTCCCACATGGTGTCCTGATGAGCTACTTTGGGGTTTTGGATCTCCTACTCGGGTCCATTCAGTCCATCTACAATGGGAGTTGTATTTTCTGGTAAGTGTTGGTTGCTCTTTGTCACAGCTGGTAGCACGATGGCGTAGTGGTTAACACTGTAGCCTCACAGCAAGAAGGTCCTGGGTACAGTCCTCCGGTTGGACCTAGGGTCGTTCTGTGTGGAGTTTGCATGTTATCTCCGTGTTTGCGTCGGTTTTCTTCGGACGCTCCGGTTTCTTCCCACAGCTGAAAAACATGTACCGTATTTTCCGCCCTATAAGTCAGTTTTTTGCATAATTTACATGCCCTGCGACTTATAGGCCGAAGCAACATATTTATGGACTTTTCCCATATTTATAAACCAATTTTTGGCTGAGATATGACTGTTTTCATTCATTCTGACTGAAAAAAATAAATTAAAAAATTGAGCAGTACCATTTTCAGCCACTTGATGGCAGCAGAGTAGTAATAGATGCAACGTATATGGTGAAGCGACATATTTATGGATTTTTCCACTTTATTAGACAAACATGGACTGAGAGGTATCTGAATATCTGTCCAAACTGTTGTCTCAATGATCTGGTCCTGGGTAAGTGGCAGAGGTTGGGCAGATGTATCTTTAGGTGTGTGAACATCTGAACGTTTAGATTTCATCATAGAAACAAAAACAGAACAGCAGAAAGTTGCTAATTATGTTCTCATGGCCTCTGACAGTGGACTTGTGTCTATACTTGTCCTGTCAGATAGTGGACTTGGGTCCATGTATTCAATATATTGGTTCTGCTGGAGGTTTCTTCCTGTTAAAGGGAGTTTTTCCTTTCCACTGTCTCCTTTGTGCTTCCTCAGGATGGAAGACTGTGACGATGTGACGATACAACACAATCTGCTGCTTCCTTAGATAGAAAACGTTTACTAATTGTTTTCTTAATGTATTTGAATGTTTTTGTACAGCGCTCTTAGACAACTCTTGTTGTAACTTGTTGCTATAGAAATAAACTGAATATATGTCCTGTTAAGACAGTGGACTCGTGTCCATACTTGTCTTTGCAGAACATATTGGAATAACAGGACAGGCTCTAAAATGGTTTAAATCGTGTTTATTTGATAGATTCCAGTTTGTAAATGTGAATAATGAATCTTCTTCATACACCAAAGTTAGTCATGGTCTTCCTCAGGGCTCAGTGCTTGGACCAATGCTCTTTACTTTATATATGCTTCAAATAGGTAACGTTATTAAACAGAATGGAATAACATTTTATTGTTATGCTGATGATACTTAGAAACCCGATTAATCCAATCAGTTACTTAGATTAGCATGACTTAAAGGCATTAAAACCAGGATGACTTAATTTTCTGCTTTTAAACTCAGACAAGACTGAGATTGTGGTTTTTGGACCCGAGCGTTTTAGGAATAAACTTTAGTCTTTCACTTCCTGTAGATGACATTAATGTGGCCTCCAGTTCTAATGTAAAAATATGTTATTTTTGATCAGAATGTATTTTAACCCCCACATTAAAAAAGTTAGGCCTGTTTTCCTCCATCTGCATAATATCACTAAAGTTATAAATATCTTGTCCAGAAATTATGCAGAAAAACTGATTCATGCATTTATCACATCTAGGCTGGATTATTGTCCTTCAGTCTTTTTTATTTTGTTAAACGTTCAGATGCATCATGTTGGGATTGTTGGTCTCTTTAGCTCAGATGCTTACTGTGTTTGTGAGGTTCAGAGAATTTGTGTTATTTGTGTGTAGTTTTGATGCATTTGATCATGTTGTCATGTAGTGGCTTCACTGCTGGAGAGTTCCCAGTCCCTGCAGCTGTTGGCACTCGGGACCATCCAGCCTGGCACAAGCTGCACACTGGCAACAACTGATAAAATATTTTTGACTTTTATTTTTAGGCAGAAATTCTTCCTGCTGGTTTTACTTTTAACATTTAAACAGTTGTGAGCAAAAACTATGTCATGGGGAAAAAAGCCCAATTTACTGCCTAATATGAAAACCATGAAAAGTGACCAAAAATGACCTATTTTAGCTTATTTTTTAGTTTGTTTCAGCTGTGTTCACGATATTCTGCCTCATTTGTTCATCCGGTTGCTCTTTTGCTCCATCAGACTGAAACCTACCTGAGTTTTCTTTGCAATCGGACTCAGAGTCTGAGCTTTCCGAAGACTCTGACGTTTTCTCTGGCAGGTTTGGCAGCTGAACGATGTCAATGGGTGTGTCTTTATACTCAGGATTACTGCGAAGAAAACACATGGTGGTAGAAATAAAATAAAAGCTGTTTTCTAATTTATTGTTGCAGAAAACTTAAAAATAATTTAGAAGATGAAGTACAGAAGCAAAGATGAAACATGTTACAATCCTAGTTTTAGAACATTTATAATTCAACATATGGAAATTTAGATGCAGAAATAGATTAATCAATATTTATTGTTATTTGATTTATTGTCAAATAAACATTGGGGGGAATGCACATCAAAGACAACATCTAAACAAAGTTCATCTCTGACCTGAGGACGTAGTTGACCCAGACGATGTTCTTCTCATTGGAGTTCTTGGCGTTGATGGCGATGGTGGCGCTGGACTGAATCCAAATGTAGCCGCCATTCTTCTGGATCCACCGGTAATACTTGGTCACACACTGACCTTTATTCATCACTGGGGCAGAAACACACACAGGGAACAATAAAAGGTTTGGTTGTGATCTAAATGCAAGTTTGTCTTTGATATTCTCCACAGATATTTCCCAAACGGACACGTCATTGAGGACTTTCACCAAGACAGGTTTTAGGGCAAACTTGGATGAAGAGCAGAAGAGTTGGACAGAGGCAGAGGAACCGAGATGAAGATGTGACAGAAGAAGAGACAGTCATCATCAGATGTCATGTGACATCTGGCTGAGAGCTGTTCTGCTGCTGCCATCATTAATCACACCAGCACTCACTGCCAGCCTCTGTGTGTGTGTGTGGATGTGTTTGAATTTCTGGGTATATCTCCAATAAATGAGTAACTACATCCTCAAACCTGAAATCATCTTTCCAAAGTGCTAATTTAGTTTAGATGTTAATATTTTCACATCTAAAATGTGTTGTTTATAAATTTATAACAATTATGACAAACAGATGGATAGATGAATAAATCGATAGACAAAGGGATGGATAAAAAGATTGATAATACAAAGATGGATGAATGGACGAATGGTCAGATGGACCAAGGGATGATGGATGGACTGAAAGAAGGACCAGTGGATAGATGAAAAGATGGATGCATGAATGGACAGATGGAAAGATAAATGAATGAATGCAAGGATAAATGGAAGGAAGGTTTGATGGACAGACTGATGGATCGATGAACAGACCAATGGATGGATCAACAAATGAACGGACTGCTAGATGGACCAATGATGGTCAGACCAACAGATGGACAGACAGATGGATGGATGAATAGACAAATAGATGGACGAACATATGAATGTACCGATCAGTGGATGATAGACAGACCAACAGATGAGACAGACCAATGGACGATGGCTGAATGGATGGACTGATGGATGGATGGATAGATAGATGGAATAACAGATGGATGGACCAACAGATGGATGAACTGATGTATGGATGGTCAGTTGGATGGATGGATGGGCGGACCAATGGATGGATGGGCCAACAGATAGATGCATCAATGGACGGACCAATGGAAGGATGGATGGACGGATGATAGACCAACAGATGGATGGAAGGGTGGATGGACAGATGATAGACCAACAGATGGATGGAAGGGTGGATGGACAGATGATAGAACAGTTGTGCTGATGAGTTTTTTTTTCAGCCTGTTGGACTGAACCAGTTTAAACTGGTTTTGTCTGTGTGGTGAGTTGTCAGTTCCCGCCATAAATAGTTGAGTGAATCCCAGTTGTTCACTGGTTTTCCTTCCTTAAAGACCGTTTGGTCGGTCCTGACTGAGCCCTGCAGAGAGAAACAGAACGTGTGACGATGCGACGACATCGTTTGCTTCAAACACGTCTTTCTTCAAGGACAAAACGTCTGATGCACTCCACTGCCTCCCCAGATGTTCCCCCTCACCTGTCTGTAGTAATAATGTGCCAGCTCATCCTGTAGCTTGATCACTGACGTTCTGTTCTTCATAGACACAGACTCTAGATCCACGCTCCACAGTTTACTCAAACTCTCCAAACCCTTTAGAGCAGCAGCAGAACCTCTTCCTGCAGCTGATAGAACATTAGAGCTCCTCCACTAATGGACTGAAAGTCTGAAAACAGACAGCTGAAGCTGCTGCAGTAGCTCCTGTTGCACACCAGGCAGCGCTGTCTCACCTCCCTGTGAAGGTGGACCATCCCCCTCACCCCCTGCTCCACCCGGAGACGGCGCGCCAGTAATAAATTTGGCTAAATTAACTCTAAATGGTTATCTCAAGCAATATGTATTGGCATTAATCAGGAGCTGCTCAAACAGAAACAGTCAGAGACGAGAAGCCAAGGCCACTAAATTCATATCCCGCTTCTCAATTTAATTACGCACACAAATAGGTTTTCCATGACAGAGAAGAAAGAGCGCGAACGCAGGGGGTGATTTATAGAAAAAGAAGGCCAGTAATTAAAAACTATTAGAATCTAATAGCATTGTTTAAGACGACATCCCCAGGGCTGCAGTAATTGACTCTGGTTGGACGGCTGCTCTCGTTTGCTCCTTCGCTCGGGGAGGAAAAAGAACTTGTTTGCATGTTAAGGTAGAGATGCTGAGATCATGTCACCTTGAATGTGACCTTGCTTTGTTTGTACGACAGAGTAAACAACACACACAAACAACGTGATGCCTGTAGGTAGTCCGTCCACAGGAACAACACAGAGATGCAACAATACGTCCACGTCACGGTTCTTAACAACCAGGAAGGAAAGTGCCAAATTCATTTTTTCTTTTTTTAAAAACAGACAACTCGCCCCTGAAGAGCCAGAAACACAAACCACCTTCACAGAGGGGGGTCCAAGGCAGCAGGTCGGAGACAACAAGGTAGGATTTGAAGAGAAGAGGGAAGTTTGTCCTTCCACGTTCGTACATGGAGACGTCGGTCTCCAGCCTGACAATCGTCTTTTTGTTGACCAAAAGAGGTTCTGCTCCGAGAGGAGGAACGGGAACCAAACAACTCTTTTTCAAAAATGTCCATGCTCAATAATCCAGGTATATAATCCAACAATTTTCAGTCAGGTCATCTGGACAGTTTCTTTTTTTTCTTTTTCTGAAACGTTTCACCTTCCATCCAGAAGGCTTCATCAGTCAAGGAAACACACAACACAAAACTGATTCTTCCCCAAACAGCTTACTCCAAAGTGGAACAAACCAGTTATGTTGGTGCTAAGATGGTGTCTTTGGCACGCTCCCTCCTTTGGTGCCGGCCCTCTTCCTCGTCTACAGTCATGTCAAACTGGTTCAAAACTAAAAAAGTCCATGCTCAATAATCCAGGCATTCAATCCAACAATTTTCAGAAAAGAAACTGTCCAGATGACCTGACTGAAAATTGTTGGATCTCTTTTTCAGTTTGTCTGTGCACCAACATTTATTCTAAAATAAATCCACATTGTGTTCCAGTCAGGACCGTAAAAGGTAACAAAGTTAGATCAACTTCAGAAACATATTTCTCTCCTGGGTTAAGAAAAATGTCACAAAAAATGCATGAAATAAAAAAACTGAGCGTTGCTTCAATTTGGCTCGATGCAAAACAAGAAAAAACAATTCAGAGCTGAATAACTTCTCTGAAATGAATATCCAGCACAAATCAGTGAAATACAAAGCTTCTCAACAAAGCGAGTGTTCCTGTAGGAAACTGAATCTTGCACTGATTATTTAGCACAACTTTCTGCCGTACAAAACAAAGACATCACAGCACAGAAATACACCCACACAGGTACATTAGTTTGTTGCTCCAACTTTATGTTTCAAGTAGAAATACACCAAATATTCAATGAATATTGGCCACTTTTTACTAAACCAATCAGCCTGCAGCAGCAAACCCCTATTTTGTTGTTATTTGCTCTTCTACACGGTATTTTAGTGTACAAGTTCTTTTAAGGATTCTTAAACATATGTTTGTTTTTATTAATCAACGATAATGAAAAATGCAAGCAGACAATAAAACAAGCCGTGTCTGGGCCAGCGGCTGCCCTGATTTCTAAAGAGCAACATCAGTTGCAGAGAAGTTCACATCAGTCGGCACGTTCTTACAAAGTAAAAGTACAATACAGACGAGGTACCTCGAAGTGTCGCAGCGTGGTACTTAGTACATGTTTCAGCCTTTCTGTCATACCATAAACATACACTTTTTACCTCCAAGGTACAAATATGACCCTTGTAGTAGACCCAAGTTCCTTTTTTAAAAATACTTTCACATTTTACCGTGCACATGCACCTCTCCTCCGTCTGCCTCAAACATCCGGGATCACTCGTGGAGTTTTCCTCAGCGCAGCTGACGTGAAACAGGCGGACCTTTAAACCTCTGTTCCTCTGAAACAAACGTTCAGGGATGGTTTGTTGGAAACTGTTCAGAAACTCTCGGTTGTGTCTGTTAACGGTAAAATAAAGTGAAATAAAAGGAGTGCCCACTTCTACAACGATCAGCTGTGACTGAGTCATTGTGTGAAGTACCTGCACAAAACACCTGCACCGTTACACCCAGCACACAAACATGCACTGTAGATCCACATCACGCACGCACGCACGCTGGTACAAGTATTAATTTTATGACTCAACTTTAGATCAAGAACTTCAAAATTTAGAACATAAAATATTTATTGATTATTTCTTAATGATGAGTTGATCAGATCTTTGTTAGGGTTGAAAAACAGACGTTTCATCTCAGGAGTTATTTGTGTCTCCACTGAGGACTGGACAGGGACGCATGGATAAAGCAGAGGATCATAAGGACGGACTTCAGAAACGTTGGACGTCTCAGTCTGGTTCTGCAGCGTGAATCTGAAATGACCCGCAGATTGTTGGACAGTTGGACTGTTGGACTGCTGTATCATTGGACTGTTGGACAGATGGACCTTTAGATGTCTGAATCTGGTCCTGCAGTGTGAATCTGAAATGACCCGCAGGCTGATGGACATGTCAGTTCGTCTGCAGTGTCTCTGTGGTGACGACCTACTGAGGGACAAACGAACATAACCTGGTTGACACAAACCTGAGGACAGAGAAAACCTTTGTCCCTGAGACGAAGCATCCTCTCCTCCCGTCTACGTTTTGGACGGCTCTCTGGCTGATGGTTCACTAACGAAGGATGGAGGAGGAGGAGGAGGACGGAGAGGAGAAGAAAGGCAGTGCTGGAGGCTTGCCTGAGGCTGCAGAGGACAGGCCGGTCCATTAAAGGACTTTATTCTCTTTTAACGTGTCCTCACCTCAGAGTCTCAAAGACGCTCCCCTCAGCTCGTCTGAACGATTGTGCTTCTCCGGTTCTGTTGCCTTTTTAATGTGAACGCTGGAAGAGACACGTGCAGGTAAGTTCTGTTGGAATTGTCTTTGTGGGAACAGCGTTTAGTCTATGAGGACACAGAGGGACATGTTGGACATGTCCAGCTGGTTCTGACAGAAAAAGTAGTAGCGTTGGACAAACTGATGAGACGTTTTCACTTTAACCCCGCCTACTTTCATGGAACAATTAACGTTCATGTAAAACTACAACCAAGAACACTGAACCAAGTCCAGACCATCTAAGAACCAAGTCCAGACCACCTCAGAACCAAGTCCAGACCACCTCAGAACCAAGCCCAGACCATCTCAGA